AGTGCAAAATAATTACAATAGTATTAACACTGGAATGCTAGATGTGCAAGAGATTATGTGCAAATAGAGATACTGGGGTGCAAAAGAGCAAAATAAATAACAATATAGGGATAAGGTAGTTGGGTGGGCTAATTTCAGATGGGCTGTGTACAGGTGCAGTGATCGGTAAGGTGCTCTGACAACTGATGCTTAAAGTTAGTGAGGGAGATAAGACTACATACACAACCGTTCAAAAGTTTGGGTTTACTTAGAAATTCCCTTGTTTTCAAAAGAAAATGATTTTTTTTTGTCCATTAAAATAACATCAACTTGATCAGATATACAGTGTAGACATTGTTAATGTTGTACATGGCTATTGTAGCTGGAAACTGCTGATTTTTAATGGAATATCTACATAGGCGTACAGAGGCCCATTATCAGCAACCATCAGTCCTGTGTTCCAATGGCACGTTGTGTTTGCTAATCCAAGTTTATCATTTTAAAAGGCTAATTGATCATTAGAAAACCGTTTTGCAATTATGTTAGCACAGCGGAAAACGGTTGTGCTGATTAAAGAAGCAATAAAACTGGCCTTCTTGAGACTAGTTGAGTATCTGGAGCATCAGCAATTGTGGGTTCGATTACAGGCTCAAAATGGCCAGAAACAAATAACTTTCTTCTGAAACTCGTCAGTCTATTCTTGTTCTGAGAAATGAAGGCTATTCCATGTGAGAAATTGCCAAGAAACTGAAGATCTCGTACAACGCTGTGTGCTACTCCCTTCACAGAACAGCGCAAACTGGCTCTAACCAGAATAGAAAGAGGAGTGGGAGGCCCCGGTGCACAACTGAGCAAGAGGACAAATACATTAGTGTCTAGTTTGAGAAACAGACGCCTCACAGGTCCTCAACTGGCAGCTTCATTAAATAGTACCCGCAAAACACCAGTCTCAACGTCAACAGTGAAGAGGCGATTCCGGGATGCTGACCTAGGCAGAGTTGCAAAGAAAAAGCCATATCTCAGACTGGCCAATAAAAAGAAAAGATTAAGATGGGCAAAAGAACACACTGGACAGAGGAAGATTGGAAAAAAGTGTTAGGGACAGACAAATCGAAGTTTGAGGTGTTCGGATCACAAAGAAGAACATTTGTGAGATGCAGACCAAATGAAAAGATGCTGGAGGAGTGCTTGATGCCATCTGTCAAGCATGGTGGAGGCAATGTGATGGTCTGGGGGTGCTTTGGTGGTGGTAAAGTGGGAGATTTGTACAGGGTAAAAGGGATCTTGAAGAAGGAAGGCTATCACTCCATTTTGCAACGCCATGCCATACCCTGTGGATGGCGCTTGATTGGAGCCAATTTCCTCCTACAACAGGACAATGACCCAAAGCACAGCTCCAAACTATGCAATAACTATTTAGGGAAGAAGCAGTCAGCTGGTATTCTGTCTATAATGGAGTGGCCAGCACAGTCACCGGATCTCAACCCTATTGAGCGGTTGTGGGAGCAGCTTGACCGTAAGAAGTGCCCATCAAGCCAATCCAACTTGTGGGAGGTGCTTCAGGAAGCATGGGGTGAAATCCCTTCAGATTACCTCAACAAATTGACAACTAGAATGCCAAGGTCTGCAAGGCTGTAATTGCTGCAAATGGAGGATTCTCAAAGTTTGAAGGACACAATAATTATTTCTAACCTTGTCAATGACTACATTCCCTATTCATTTTGCTATATTTCCTATTCAAACTCATTTCATGTATGTTTTCATGGAAAACAAGGACATTTCTAAGTGACCCCAAACTTTTGAACGGTAGTGTATACATTTTCCATATACAGTTTGTTCGGAAAGTATTCAGACCCCTTCCCTTTTTCCACATTTTGTTATGTTACAGCCTTATTCTTTTTTTTTTATCCTCATCAATCTACATACAATACCCCATAACGACAAAGCAAAAACAGGTTATCAGAAATGTTTGCAAATGTATTAAAAGTAAAAAACTGAAATACCTTATTTACATAGGTATTCAGACCCTTTGCTATGAGATGGGTCAAAGTAAGGTAAGATGGGTCAAAGCGGCTTGGATGAATTGTCTTGGAAGTCTTTCAAAACATTAATGTAAAAAGTAACGGTTGATATCTGGCCTAGGGGGAGTTGGACTGTTCATTAAAGGTTGAGAGGGTAGCACTTTTCCAGAGCAAATAGTGGGGTGATTCATTTTAAGACTTTTGACATCCAAACCGCCTTCAGCCATATGGATCAGCCAGGGCTGAGTCGTTTCACCGGAGCAGAGCTGAGAGGTCGGAAATAGGAGTTACAGGAGTAGCGGAAACAAGCTGACAGTCCATGATTCGAGCACGTGCAACTCGAGTAATGGCAGCCAGTGTACTTTCTCTGTTGCAGACTGCTGAGAGATGCACTTGGAGAAGGAGCTGGTCAAAGACTTTTGTAATATGAGAGGAGAAGCCAAGGCTCAGAGGCTCCAAAGTGTAAGAGGGAGAGGCAACAATATGTAAAATGTGAAGGTAACTAGTAATTGCTGTTTCCGCTTGACACAAACAAGATTGATACTTGTTCTATCCTCTGCCTTTGTTGTATTTATAAAGTACGTAAAATAGGTGTTTCACAATATGTTTCATTGAGCTATGATATTTAAATTGGCCCCCCAAAATCATGAACTGAATTCTTATAATTTTTTTGGATAGCTGCTGGCATAGAAAAAGCCCTTGTTCTGTAGCATACACAACTAAAGTAAACTGAGTGACAAGCTAAAAGTCACCACATGGGGGCAGAGGTACACCAACTTCAGACATTTTCACACCCATAAACATAACATAGGCTACATTGTAGGGCGGCAGGTAGCTTAGTGGTTAAGAGTGTTGTGCCAGTAACCGAAAGGTCGCTGGTTATAATCCCCAAGCCGACTAGGTGGAAAAAATCTGTCGATGTGCCCTTGAGCAAGGCACTTAACCCTAGTTGCTCTGGATAAGAGCGTCTGCTAAATGACCTATTTATTATTGTTATTTCATCTGTGTAGATGCAGGGGGTTTGCTTATTACGGTGCGGTTCTTGATCACAGAGGGGGAAGTAGGTAGCTCAGACCAAGGTTTCCCAAACTCGGTCCTGCACATTTTGGTTTTTGCCCTAGCACTACACAGCTGATTCAAATAACCAACAAATAACCAACTCGGGCAAAAAAAAAAAAAGTGTACCCAGGAGGGGCTCCAGGACCGAGTTTGGGATATCCTAGCCTAGACAAGAGGTTAGAGAGGCTGGAAGATTACATCAACAAGAATGTTCATTTCGTTCGCAAAATGGACAACAATCAACACTGAACCAAAATATAAACTCAACATGTAAATAGTTGTTTCATGAGCTGAAATAAAAGATACCAGAAATGTTCCCTGCGCACAAAGAGCTTATTTCTCTCAAATTTTGTGCACAAATTTGTTTACATTCCTGTTAGTGAACATTTCTCCTTTGCCAAGATAATCCATCCACCTGACAGGTGTGGCATATCAAGAAGCTGATTAAACAGTATGATCATTACACAGGTGCACCTTGTGCAGGGGACAATAAAAGGCCACTCTAAAATGTGCAGTTTTGTCACAATACAATGCCACAGATGTCTCAAGTTTTGAGGGAGGGTGCAATTGGCATGCTGACGGCAGGAATGTCTACCAGAGCTGTTGCCAGATAATTGAATGTTCATTTCTCTACCATAAGCCCCTCCAACGTCATTTTAGAGAATTTGAAATTGTTGCATGTTGCGTTTTATATATTTGTTCAGTATATATTACTGTAAGACACTAACTGGTGGTAGATTTGCATCCTACCCATTTTCTTTATTTTGTGCTTTAAAGAGGCACCCTATTGAATCATTGCATTTTGAAGAGAAAGCAACAAGTGCAATGATACTGTGGGAAATAGACCAATGGGACAGAGAATTTTTTTTGAATGCTGCTGAGTTGAGAATATTAGCAGCATTTCCAGAGACCAAACATCAACAGAATAATCACATTTTTGAGAATTGAATGAATGTACAGACAAAGCACTGTACTGAAAATAAAATGTAAAATGACACAATTAGAATTCAAGATAAATTATATTTCTGATTACACATTGTGAAAATTTATTGTGAAGCTACATCATGATGCGTAGGCCAGTTTTTTTTTTGCTATTAAATTATGCCTATGTAACTGACTTTTTTCAAGGGCCAGAGTTATGTTGTTAAATGAGGATTAAGGTTTAAGTTATCTAGTAAAGTATATCTATTGTAAAGAAACTAAAGAAATGAAAGATGTTAAAAGCCATCATTCATTTTCCTACCCCATCTAATTTTGTATTATTGTCAGTATTCTGTAATTCAGCTTTTAGCTGCAAATGTATAGCCTACAAGATCAGATCAAATAAACCTTACTAAAAACCCATGTTTAAAACTATACTTTTAGAATAACTACATTACCCATAATGCTCATCGACTGAACATTCTAAATTACCATGGCAATCTTTTGTAAACCATGGCATTTATGCATCACAATAGTTATTCTATGGTATGAGGTCAGACAGAGACTAATGGCCATACAAGGTGCCACCTGTGGTAGAGAGGGGAGAAAATGGGAAGGGTCAGCTCAGGGTTTGAACTCTGGTCTCTGGCGAGGAGTCGCATAGGTGGTGAGAGCAGGGAGTGTTATCACTCCGCCACGGCGCTGCACTCCCAGTTTTATTTGTAACCAAATGATGTCAATATTGCTCATATTTGGTGACATTTTGCATGAGCAATTGGCAGTGACAAAAATAACCATAAAACACATATAGAAGGGAAGTTCTGAATAGCTTATATTACCAGCATGAATTTGTTCTTTGCAGGGTAGAAGATGTATTAATGGAGGATTCTGTGACGGAATGGCGTTGAATCAAATTAAATAAGATCCATTGATTTACGCTGTTTATACTTCACTATATTTCAATTTCATTACTTACAAAAATACAGGAATCTGAATTCTGAGTGTTAAATAAGACATGGCCCAAGTCATTTTTTATTCTACACAAACAGGAAACAACCAACCAACTTGGATACTTACAGTTTGACACACTTGAGGAATTACCCAAATCTCGCTGATTTGATGAGTGAACAAATCTTTATCCCCGTCAGACAATTTTTAGTTGATTTAACCATTGAATATGTTTGCTCTTAAACGTGAAAAATTATTTCGTATAATGGAAATATCATGGTTCAGTACAAGTACATTGGTTTTGCTGACTATCTTCACTTTACATTCATTCGAGAGGATTTTCTACACAGCTCAACACCACTGAGGTAAATGGAAAGTTGTTTACAAATACTTTGAAAAAAAGAGAGCGTGACGACACAATAAAAAGATAACGCTAATTTTAAAAGTCATTAATTGTAGCCACTTGTGTGCATAGCTATGTACCCAGGAAACACCAATGGAAGGCAACAACTAATGGAAGGGGGATATATTAATCTGAAGTTTGTCATGTTTGAAATGCTGTTGCTTGCATAACAGAGCGTACTGTATGGTTCAGTGTCAGACACACCACTGGATCTCTCCACTATTCAGACAGACTAAGGTCATTTTACTACAGGGTAGAATCAATGAAACCCTATTCAAGGTAAAAATGCCCTAAATAAATGATACAACTGTTCCTTTTAACAACATTTCCTAATATTTTATTGTATGATAAATACAGCTTCATTGGGTTGATGCCAGACGAACTAGACTACTCATCGTATCTAAAACACTGGAGGCAGAGATCCAAGTCCACACCAGACGAATCATCAATCTTGGGACCTTGAACAATGGTGCTCCTCTGGTGCTTGTTGTCCGTGACTACATCTTTAAAGAAAGCTGATATGCTGAACCATAAAGTGTTCCTCGGCTGTCCCTGTAGGAGAACCCTTTTTTCACCAAAGGGTTCTTCACCTGGAATCAATACATGGTTCTCCTACACAAGGACAGGCGAAAAGCCCTTTTTTTCTAAGAGTGTATAGTGGTATTTTGTGTAAGGCCTTTGGGTGTCGTGATCCAGTGTGTGCTTTGCTTCTCTTCAGCTTTCAAGGCCTACTTGTACATGACGAAGCCCACTTGTTATTGACGAAGCCTACTTGTACATGACGAAGTCTACTTGTACATGGCGTTGAAGGCTCGACCAATGATGAGCCTGCGCACTTCGCTGGTGCCTGCTCCAATCTCGTACAGCTTGGCGTCCCTCAGGAAACGGCCCATGGGGTAATCATTAATGTAGCCGTTGCCACCTGCAGGTGGAGAAACGCAACAATGACTTGACATAAATCAACTGACAAACAAGCCCTCCACCCCCAACCCCCCTAGAGAGATTATAGTTAGGATGAACGCAAGTGTAAAACAGCGGAGCATGCAGTGATAACACTAGCTACAACGATCAACATGTTTCTATGAAGTGCACGGTGGGCTTGGTTCTTACCCAGGCACTGAATTCCATCCAGAGCGACTTGAGTGGCATTCTCAGCACAATAAAGAATGACCCCAGCACAGTCCTGCAATGACAGCCCAAGTCACTACTGTTCCATACAATATTTATTTCTATCAAATTACATTTTCATCAACACTTTCATCCAAGATGTTTTCTATTACCTCTATGAATTCCACATTACAATTTATTTATTAATTAAAATGTATTTTTTGGTTGTTTTATGGAGAATGCTCACCATGGAACTGCAGTGTCCCTTGTCACAGGCTCGTGCCACGTTATACAAATACTGTCTACAGGCACCAAGCCGTGTGTACATGTCGGCCATCTTGGCTTGCATCAACTGGTAGGAAGGAAAAAAACATCAATTCCAGAAAAGGGCAAAAAAGTGGTTATACCTCATCATCATCACACCTCTTGAATGCTTTAGCATTATTAATTCTCACACATCAAATTTAGTAATTTCAAAACATTCAAGGAAGTGGTATATGCAAGAGAAATACGTATTTTTTTTTTTAAACATGTAGGTCTGTTGTAAGTTGAATCTGATTGACATAAATGCCCTTTCTTATTTGACCGCCTGAGAATGGTTTTGGTTGATGTCCCACCTGGAAGTGTCCAATCTTCTGTCCGAAAGCTTCTCTAACGTGCAGGTAGGGAACGGAAAAGTCCATCACAGACTGCATAATGCTGAAAGAGGGGAGCATTTTCTTCACTGAAGAGCATAGATATACGTAGACAGAATATGCTCATGGGCATGTGTTATAAACCCAAAAGGACCATTAGGTCCAGAATATGTATATTTACCCGACAGGTCCTGCTGCGAGCACAAGTCTCTCCAGGTCAAGCCCACTCATCATCACATAGACACCCTTGTTGAGAGGGCCCAAGATATTCTCCTCTAATCGAAAGACGATGTTGCAATTGAAATGTAATTCAGAATGATTAAAAACTATTCTGTGCATTACTGAATATACTCACATGGATGTGCACACGCTCAGGCACATGTATACATACAATGCATTTGGAAAGTATTCAGACCCCTTGTCTTTTTCCACTTTGTTACATTAGAGCCTTATTCTAAAATTGATTAAATTGTCCACCCCCCCCCCCCTCAATCTACACACAATACCCCATACTGACAAAGCAAAAACAGGTTTTAGAAAACTGAAATCTAACATTTACATAAGTATTCAGACCCTTTACTCAGTACTTTGTTAAAGCACCTTTGGCAGCGATTACAGCCTCAAGTCTTCTTGGGTATGATGCTACAAGCTTGGCACAACTGTATTTGAGGAGTTTCTCCCATTCTTCTCTGCAGATCCTCTCAAGCTCTGTCAGGTTGTATGGGGAGTGTCGCTGCACAGCTATTTTCAGGTCTCTCCAGAGATGTACGATCGGGTTCAAGTCTGGGCTCTGGCTGGGCCACTCAGGGACATTCAGAGACTTGTCCCGAAGCAGCTGCTCCGTTGTCTTGGCTGTGTGCTTAGAGTCATTGTCCTGTTGGAAGGTGAACCTTCACCCCAGTCTGAGGTCCAGACGCTCTGGAGCAGGTTTTCATCAAGGATCTCTCTGTACTTTGCTCCGTTCATCTTTCCCCTCGATCCTGACTAGTCTCCCAGTCCCTGCCGCTGAAAAACATCCCCACAGCATGATGCTGCCACCACCATGCTTCACCGTAGGGATGGTGCCAGGTTTCCTCCAGACGTGATGCTTGGCATTCAGGCCAAAGAGATCAATCTGGGTTTCATCAGACCAGAGAATCTTGTTTCTCATAGTCTGAGAGTCCTTTAGGTGCCTTTTGGCAAACTCCAAGCGGGCTGTAATGTGCCTTTTACTGAAGAGTGGCTTCCGTCTGGCCACTCTACCATAAAGGCCTGATTGGTGGAGTGCTGCAGAGATGGTCGTCCTTCTGGAAGGTTCTCCCATCTCCACAGAGGAACTCTGGAGCTCTGTCAGTGACCATCGGGTTCTTGGTCACCTCCCTGACCAAGGCCCTTCTCCCCCGATTGGTCAGTTTGGCTGAGCAGCCAGCTCTTGGAAGAGTCTTGGTGGTTCTAAACTTCTTCCATTTAAGAATGATGGAGGCCACTGTGTTCTTGGGGACCTTCAATGCTGCAGAAATTTTTTTGTACCCTTCCCCAGATCTGTGCCTTGACACAATCCTCTATGGACAATCCCTGCGACATCATGGCTTGATTTTGCTCTGACATGCACTGTCAACTGTGGGACCTTATATAGACAGGTGTGTGCCTCTCCAAATCATGTCCAATCAATTGAATTTACAACAGGTGGACTCCAATCAAGTTGTAGAAATATCTCAAGGATGATCAACGGAAACAGGATGCACCTGAGCTCAATTTCGAGTCTCATAGCAAAGGGTCTGAATACTTATGTAAATAAGGTATTTCTGTTTTAGATTTTTCATAAATGTACCCCCCCAAAAATTGAAACTTTTTCGCTTTGTCATTATGGAGTATTGCACGTAGATTGAGGAAAACAATTGATTTAAAATCCATTTTAGAATAAGGCCGTAATGTTACAAAGTGTGGAAAAAGTGAAGGGGTCTGAATACTTTGTGAATGCACTGTACACCCACACACCTGGAATCTTGCAGTCCTCAAAGATAAGTTCACAGGTGTTGGATCCCCTCATTCCCAGTTTATCCAGCTTCTGTGCCGTACTAAACCCTGGCATACCCTGTAGGAATAAACATTGGGCACAATTTACCAACATGTTCAGAATTCGGTTGCAAAATGCTAGTATCTTTCCCAAAACTCCCAGCTTTTCCAGAAATCCTGGTTAGAAGATTCCCAGAACCAGGGGGGAATAAGCAGGATATCCAGAATCCTCCAAACACGATTACTGGAAAACCTGGGAAATTTTGGGAAAGTTACCCAAAACCCTAGTACAGACCAGGTAGAGGCTAAGACTGACAGAACCATTTCCATTATTGATCATAATAAAATAAAAGTGTAAAAAGGGGCCCAGGCCCATAACTGATGAAGTGTAAACGGGTTCAGAACAATGGCTACTGCACGGGCGCACAGTAGCCCCGAGACAGCCGCGCAGAAGAAATATCAGCCCATAGAGATAAGCCCGAGATTGAACTTCACTCAACTTTCTAGAGCAGTGGTCACCAACCGGTTGATCGCGATCGACCTCCAAAAGGCATTCCTAGTCAATCGCCAAACATTTCTGTAAAAAACCCAACGATAAAGCCTTGTGTTCCTGTTTTGTTTTATTCGTCTCGGGCTGTTGACGGTAGGTGCACCAGATTATGCTGCCCTGCGCAACGGATAGGTCGAAGTATTGCCATTTTGAACCATTTCATGTGACTGAAGGTACAAACTCTGCCTTCCCGGCGGGCCCAGAGAGCAAATCAAGTGCACTATAGGCCTACCGCTGGCCAATCGGATGGCTCCGATTACTGTGTCTGCAGTAACGTAGCAGGCATAAAAGAAAGCTAAAGCAAAGTTGACACTGTGAGATTTAAAAACATTTAAAACCATGACTAGAGAGAGACTCAACGAATACAGCTAAGAGCTGCTGTTTTTATGAGTGAGTTCATGTTTACATTCTTACTCAGCACTGTCAACACTTTGTATTCAACACTTTTATAAGCCATAAAATGAGCGTTCTTCCTATTTCCACTCAGTGCTAGAACAAGCACTGCAGCAGTAATGAATGAGTAGGAAAAGTGTAGATAAGCTTGTGTTATTATTACCAGCTTGGGTCTTTTTTAATATTGAGGAATTATTTCACTTTCTCTGTTCATAGGAGTAACATGAATTTGTAGGCAGAAATAATGCGGTGCGACTCGAGTTTCGCCATCAGCTGGAAGACGTGTCCCTTTTTGGTCAGTGTCAGTGGAGGAAAGGGAGAGTGGAGGGATGTTAAGAGGTGGACCCTCAGTCTGCTGCCCTCTGCCTCCGCTGAGACTGACCATCAGATGCAGGCACAATCAGCCCAGTAAAATAAAAATAAATAAGCAAATTATTTAAAAATGTATGCTCACTCAGCTGTGCCTCACAAGTAATACAACAACGGCTCTATTACCGGTGTGATCATATAGCCTACCTTCAATTTCGAAATATAATTTTAAAAACTGTCTCGGACAACAATGCATTGGCAGGGCAATTCAAGCAAAGCCAATATGCAGTGATAATGTATTGGACCGATAGCTTACTGCACAAACCTCATTGCTACAGTACTGTTTGTAATTGGTTAATGTTGCATAGGCTTCCGTTTTTTAAGTCGTGTTAAAAAAAAAAACATTCTGAGCGGTAGATCTCGACTTGCATTTTGACTCGGAAAGGGTTGGTGACCACTGTTCTAGAGTTTTCCCTGTTAACGCGCTCAACGGTTCCCTTTGCTGTGGCAATTGTGATCGAATCAACGCAATATTAGCCACTTTCAATGCAACATACCGAAAACAAAACCGAACTATGCAAGAGATTTTGTTGTAGGCAGAACGAATCGGAGTAGGATTCTATTGCATTGACACACTACTCAGCCCGTACTCTACACATACCTGTGCGGCATAACCAATCAGAGCTATAGACCATTGCCATATATGTATCTGTGCCATTTACTTTGAACTGGACTGTGTTTACAGCATGAGCGGTCGTGAGTAGATTCACTTGTTTTGAGATCAAAGCCAGAGCTGAATGTAGCCACGTGTGCACATTTAGTTCATATTCTTTGCTAGTTAGTGAGTTTTTAGCCCAGTTATAGATCATTTGTAGTCAGCAATAGGGGAGTGATTGCTTCCTACAAGAGCACAAAACGTGTACATTCCTAGACATATTTGAAAAACTAGTCAGGTAAAGAGCTTTTTTTGTCTTAAAAGGGGCAGTGTTGTATTTTGAGACAGGCTTGAATAAGCTAAGTAGCCAATAGGCAGAGGGTACATTAATTTGTCTGATTCTCTGTAAATGGTATGAGAATAATAATGCATTTTATTTTGTAAAGTGGTTTCTTGCATCAAACACCACAACATTTTCAGTCACCTCCGTGTCTGAAGGACAAGTGGATAAACAGGTTAATGTCAAGCCCTGCATGTGTTTCTTCCAAAAGTCTCATGGAATGTAGGCCTACATTGAACACCACACATTGGCTGCTACTATAGGCTGAACGATAGAACAGCTATTTCCATGTTTAAATGTTATGGGATGCATTTTCTCCATTGTTTTTGATGGTAGGCCACTCTGGTAGGCCTACATTATGATCAAATAGCCACAGTAGCCTTCTTGGCCACTGTTAAAACTGTAACTTAAAGCGGGTACAGCCTCAGTGTTCACAGTAAACACGCACTGGAAGTTGCACAGAATTTTCTAAATGTTTCAAGTTTGCACTCAGCAGACCTGCAATTTGCTCAGTCCCCCAAAACATTTGAGGGAACACTGGCCCAGACCCATAACTGGTGAAGATTTTGTAAGCAGAATATGGAAGGTGTTTGGTTTCATTGCCTACGATAAATACTCGCCTTCTCCACAATGAAAGCTGTGATACCCTTTTGTTGAGCCTCTGGGTCTGTCTTAGCGTACACAATGAGAACGTCGGCATCTGGCCCGTTGGTGATCCAGAACTTTCCACCGTTAAGAATGTAGTGGTCACCTTCAGCAAAATAAAACCCAGAGGAGATGGACAGCAGTATCAGCAAGGATGCCATTTAAGTGGTAAGAAACTGGCTCAGTAGTTAGTGAGCTTGTGCTAATAGGGCAAGAGGAGAGTGTCCCAGAGGGCTCACCTTCTTTCTTGGCCTTCAGTTTCATGGACACCACATCGGATCCGGCGTTGGGCTCACTCATTGCCAAGGCACCCACGTGCTCTCCTGTAATGAGCTGGGGAAATTATATTAGAAAGATAATACAGTGCTTTCGGAAAGTATTCAGAACCCTTCACTTTTTCCATTTTGTTACATTACAGCCTTATTCTAAATTGATTAAATAAATTGTTTTCCCTCAATCTACACACAATACCCCCTAATGACAAAGCGAACAGGTTTTAAAAATGTTTGCTAATGTATATTTAAAAATAAAACTGAAATACCTTATTTACAGTATTCAGACCCTTTGCTATGAGACTCGAAACTGAGCTCAGGTGCATCTTGTTTCTATTGATCATCCTTGAGATATTTCTACAACTTGATTGGAGTCCACCTGTTGTAAATTCAATTGATTGGACATGATTTGGAGAGGCACACACCTGTCTATATTAGGTCCCACAGTTTACAGTGCATGTCAGAGCAAAAAACATGCCATGAGGTCAAAGGAATTGTCTGTAGTGCTCCGAGACAGGATTGTGTTGAGGCACAGATCTGGGGAAGGGTACCAAAACATTTCTGCAACATTGAAGGTCCCCAAGAACACCGTGGCCTCCATCATTCTTAAAATGGAAGAAGTTTGGAACCACCAAGACTCTTCCTAGAGCTGGCCGCCCAAACTGAGCAATCGGGGGAGAAGGGCCTTGGTCAGGGAGGTGACCAAGAACCCGATGGTCACTCTGACAGAGCTCCTCTGAAGCGATGGGAGAACCTTCCAGAAGGACAACCATTTCTGCAGCACTCCACCGTTCAGGCCTTTATGGTAGAGTGGCCAAATGGAAGCCACTCCTCAGTAAAAGGCACATGACAGCCCGCTTGGAGTTTTCCAAAAGGATGAGAAATAAGATTCTCTGGTCTGATGAAACCAAAATTGAACTATTTGGCCTGAATTCCAAGCGTCACGTCTGGAGGAAAGCAGGCGCCACTCATCACCTGGCCAATACCATCCATACAGTGAAGCATGGTGGTGGCAGCATCATGCTGTGGGGATGTTTTGCAGTGGCAGGGACTGGGAGACTAGTCAGGATTGAGGGAAAGATTAACAGAGAGATCCTTGATTAAAACCTGCTCCAGGGTGCTCAGGACCTCAGACTGGGGCGAAGGTTCACCTTCCAACAGGACAACGACCCTACGCACACAGCCAAGACAACGCAGAAGTGGCTTTGGGACAAGTCTCTCTCTGAATGTCCGTGAGTGGCCCAGCCAGAGCCCGGACTTAAACCTGATTGAACATCTCTGGAGAGACCTGAAAATAGCTGTGCAGTGACGCTCCCCATCCAACCTGACAGAGATTGAGAGGATCTGCAGAGAAGATTGGGAGAAACTCCCCAAATACAGGTGTGCCAAGCTTGTAACGTCATAACCAAGAAGACTCGAGGCTGTAATTGCTGCCAAAAGGGTCTGAATACTTACGTAAATGTGACATTTCCATTTTGCCAAAAATCTCTAAAAACGTGGTTTTGCTTTGTCATTATGGGGTATTGTGTGTAGATTGATGAGGAAAAAAATAGATTATCAATTTTAGAATAAGGTTGTAACGTAACAAAAAGTGAAGGGTCTGAATACTTTCTGAATGCACTGTAACATGGCTATTTCAATTTGAGACTGCCTGTATAGATCAGACACAAACATGCTCTCCTGTCATGAGCTGGGAAAAGACAACAACGGTATACATTTCATATTGGATAAATAAAAAGAACACATGGCTATTGCACTTTGAGGCTGCCTTTATACTTCAGGGTGCATTAAGCATGTATGGGACAACAAATATGATCCACACCTTGGCCATGTACTTGTCCTTCTGCTTCGTGTTGCCATGGCGCACCATCTGATTGACACAGAGGTTTGAGTGTGCCCCGTAGCTGAGGGCGACAGCTGCTGACACTCGCGACATTTCCTCCATCACAATCACATGATCTAGGTAACCCAATCCTGAACCGCCATAATCCACTGGGGGGGGAGGGAAGAGTTACCATAGTTATGATGCTACTTCTACATCAGAGAAACTAAACTATTTTACACCTGGCAAAATAGCAAAGAAAACAGACATGGTAATACATAAACCGAAAACAATATCCATCTCTTACACGGGGCAGTGATACCCAGAAGTCCCATGTCACCCATGTCCTTCCAGAAGTCCTGCATGAAAAAAAACAATAGGTTACCAGGTGTAAACCAGGGGTCTTACAAAGTGCCTTTTTTTAGTCGCAAAATACACACTCAATGTAGACCTACATGAGAAGAAAAAAAACGAGGTGTTAGCTCTTTATTGTAATACTGTGGTTATACAATGTCCAGTCTTTTTATGATTTAGGTCATTGTATTCTAATGATGTCTTGATATTCATTTGGGGTGGATTATCATGTTAGCAGTGCAGCCCACAGTAAGATATGCAAGTGTATGAAAATTATTCAAGAAGAATACCACACACACACTACATCCTATTATGGTAGGGCAGTCCTAGCTTACCAGCTGTTATTAGAATAGTAAAGTATATTTCATCATCTCACCCGCATCCCAACAAATTCATTGCTCTTGTCAATCTCATTGGCAACGGGTCCCAGCTTCTCTGCTAGGAACCTCCGGATTGTCTGTCGGAGCTGGACAAAATAGGGAATGACAGCAATAACATCAAGAAAAATGAATCAACATGAATTTCAAACGGAATATGTTCACATGTATACTGTAAAAAAAAAAAAAATGTATCAATACAATAACTACGAGATAGTATCAACATATTGTGTTATTGTTGTGCAAAAAGTCGTTTCTTCCCTTTCTGAACGGAGCAGCGTCACATGCATGCACTAACTTTCACCCAATCAAAAACTGCCCAAGAAACCCACCCCTCGTCCACACCGACGTTAGCATGTAACCTTTTTCTAGGAACATACCAGTAGCTACCAGAAGTCTGAAAGCATTGTTTGCCCCGTGCATACGTTTACACTGAACCGACTAGTAGTGAGTTACAGCTGGTAGCCTAACAACGAGCGTCTCGATGTCCAGACAACATAGGTAGCTACAACCAGAGCCATCTAAATACGACTCTCGCCACAACAGTTGTCATAACAGTCAGTCATTTTGGCCGCTAACACTAGCTAGCTATGCGTCCTTGACACCTTTCTGTTTCGTACCTTCATAAAAATCCACAATGCAGACTTTCAACTGAGCTTGTTGACTGTATGTCAGCTGTCTTTGGCCGTTAGCTAGCTAGGTAAAAAGTTCACTGAAGTAGCTATCTAACGTTACCTGTATCTGCTCCTCAGTAAGCCCGTTGACGACATCATCCACTGGAAGACCCGCAGCGCATCCTCGTCTTGAAACCGCAGTGATTCTTGCTCCCAGGCGGAATGCACTCCTGACTGCAAACATTGTTAAACTGCGGTACTAGACTGTATGCTCCTAAACAGTCAAGATCAGAGCAAGGTCGGATAATTATACAATTACTGCGTAATGTCCGACGTGCTACTGCAATCCACAAACCAGGGATGTATTCATCACGTCTTCTTCTTCTTCAGTGGGGTTTATCGGCGGTTGGCATCCAACGTTATGGTGCATTACCGCCACCTACTGTACCGGAATGTGGGCTAGAGACAGGGATAAACTAAATCCTACCTGCCAACCCAGTTTCTCTTAAAAAAGATAAAATATTTGAGACTATATCTAATGACGTTCTGCTCAATATACTCTTTAAAATAATGTCCTGTATCCCCTTCTCCCTCATACTAGATCTCATCCTCTCTCTTTCCCTCTGATGCTGCCCACACTGTAGCAATACATGCTCCACAGTCTCTATTTCCTGACAATAATCACACTTTCCTGATGGATGCTTTCCTACCACGTTTACTGTCTTATTCAACTGGCTGTGTCCCACCTTAATCTTGTAAAAATAGCCTCCTCTCTTCTGTCCCTTCCTGCCGTCCTCCCCTCCCCGACTTTCCTCTGTACTTGAAATAAATGCCTTCCCTTATTATATCTATTCCACTGCTCCTGCCATCTCTGCACCATCACTGTATATATCAGTCTTTTTGCCTCTGCCTTGCTCATTGACACTTCAACATCAATATCCCCACTACTAAGTGCTTGTTTAGCCTGTTCATCTACTGCCTCGTTCCCCTCCACCCCCACATCGGCTGGGACCCAAGTAAATCTTATCTGAATACCCATCTGTTTAATCCTGCCATGGATTTGTAGCACCTCATAAAGCAGGTCTTGTCTGCTACGTGAGCTAAAGGACTGGAGACTCATTAACACTGCACATGAATCAGAGCAAATAACTACTCTTGTCTTGTTTGACTTCCTCCACCCACTGCAAGGCCAACAGTATGGCCATCAGCTCCGCCGTATATACAGCCAGATGATCTGTAATACGTTTCCTGACTTCCACCCCACATTCCTGCACTACAAATGCTGACCCAGTACGTCCTGTCCTTGGATCTTTTGAACCATCTGTGTAAATGGCCACAAAATCCTGATACACATTTTCCAGACATCTCTTAAAGATATCAGCTGGATCAACCCCCTCCCTATCTTTCTGTAGTCTCTCCAATTCATCACGTCTTGCAACGGAAACCGTTTAAGAACGAAACGGGGCGGGACCTTCCTGAATTTGTCCAATAGAAACTCTTGTTTTCGTTGCAAATCGTTTTCCGTTTGGAGTAAACGGTTCCTGTTGCAAAAGACGAAACGTTTCGCAACAATTGTTTTTAATTAATACACCTCATGTTTGGAAGGGAATTCCCTCTATCATGCACAAGGGTTCTCTGTCAGCTGTTAACGGAATAACCGGGCGCTAGCACCACCCTCTGTGCTGGAGCACATTATATGAGCTACTTGCAGCAGAGACTGTACATATTATTTCAATACAAATTCATCGAAGATAAAAGTGGGCAAATGTCTAAAGAAAACAAACAATTGTCTTTTGATTTTCAAAGGTAACATCTCGAAGGGTAAATGATAAAACAGTGACAAAACATTTATTTTTTATTTCACAGTCCAGTTTCTTATCAGTACAAAGAAAAAGTGAGATTAAAGCATGTCTCTGGCGCCACCAGGACCGGGACTGTCTCTCATCATGGTTGCATAGACGGATCTGTACACGCTCAGGACGTCCATTGCAGAGGGGCGAAGATGGGGGTCTCTCCTCTTACACTCCCCGTTGATCTTAAAGAGGTGGAAGTGGGCTACGTCACCTCCTGCTACCCTCCCCATCAGGAAACGTGTCACATCTGGAATCTTCCAAATGTCTGTTTTTTCATCGTACCCCGGCATCAGCTCATCGGCAAAAGGCTGGCCTTCACCGTGGGGCCACAGCTGCTCTGGGGCCACAAATCCCCCGGTGAGCTCCCGGTGGCCGCATTTCACTAATGAGCCCGCAGGGGCCCCGACCTCTGGCAGGGCATCCAGGTCATTGACCACCAGGTGGAAGTCGCTGGTCAGCAGGAACTGTGACAGGGTTTTCTCCAGGTCATTGGAGTCACACATGACTCTGGTCCCGGCGGGGCTGGTGTGGAGGTAATGGAGAATGGCGACGTAGTCCAGTGCCAGCCGCAGGCGGGTCTGCCAGGTGTCCCGTACACGGTGCCTCTCCTGGGCCAGCACTGCAACCAGGCTGAGCAGAGAGCCCAGCGGATGGTACTCTGTGACCAGGGTGTTGTCCTCTGAACACATGCCTACCAGTACCACCACGTGGGACCCCTGGAGGGCCTGGAGCATGGACAGCCCATGGAGGAAGTCCTCCTGGTACTCCGGGGAGGAGAGCTTGGACAGGGCTACTTTGTGACCCTTCCACTCGGACAGGAAAACCTATGGGAGAGGGGAGGAGGACATTGAATAAACACTTCAGGTTTCGTTATGTATTCAGGTTCCGTTATGTATTCAGGTTTGCTTACGTCAGACGAAATTGGGCATAGGTTTCAATGTTCTCTGTTGTTGAGTGGCTAACCTGCTTAACGGCTCCCTGGCCGATCATCTTCAACTTGCGCACCTCTGTGCGCACCTGTGGACACTCCAGCCACGGCGAACAGTTCTTCATGTTGGCCATCCTAAAGTGACGGGGCGGGCACGCGCCATGAGGAGTCAGGTGGGGTTTGCCGTCGTCGCTCTGCTGCAGTGAGTCCAGGTACAAGTAGATCACCACATTGCCCAATAGCAGAGCACCAAGGCACACCAGCACCACTGGAACACCGCGGGAGGTAGTGCTGTTGTGCCTGTCCATGCTGCTGTCCTGAGCCTGCTCACAAAGGGAGAGAAGTAACATAGGCAACTTTTGGAAACCCACAGACCTAAAATTGGCTTAGCTACTGTAGCTATGACATTCAGTCTTAAATTGCAAGCAGTCTCCCTCCCTGGCATTTAGGAGTTCGAGCAACCTAGCTCTGCAGTGGGACATGCATCAGTCTCGACATGATCTAGAATCCACCATGAGAACAGAAACTAACCTTGATACTTCCAGCACGCTCTGTTTTTACATAGCTAACTAACTACATACGAAACCGACGTCAACGTGCGCTGCTAACAGCCACTTTCAGACTGCTCCATACTGGACTCGAACCAGTGGTTCTTTGCACCTCAACACATGTGACCTCCCTCCATGACAATGTACCAACGGGCACCTTTTGAGTGGCCCCATCCGCACGAGTGTTTCCACACAGCCATATCTCCATCTTACAACGTGTGTTCCAGCCTTCTCTGGTGTACAGTATGTGTATTTTCTGTTTGTGAAATTATTTTGATGTGCTATGAATATACTAGTAGAGGAATTTATGTTGAGAATCGATTCTCGTTTAAACGGAGTATTTGGCTGTTTTTGGCTTCCAGAGCCAATTCGCCTTTAATCCAGAGCCAATTCGCCTTTAAACATAACATGTAAAGGTACTTGGACAGGAATAACGTTAGGCTCCTTTAGTCCATTATTGGGCTACATGCTAGCTAGCTAGCTAACGTTAGAAACCTAGTGGAAACGGGAAATACTGGTTATTAGCAGCTAGCGAACTAACTTACCTCTTACTTTACATGACGAGAGAAGACACTCTGCCTTCGTTTCACCTCGTTTCTTATCTATTTAGGACTTGTTCATTATCTAAAGTATGTTGTTGTCATTCATTTCTCCAACGTTGAAAAATTACATCCGGGTAAAACTTCATAATAAAAGTCCCCGGGTAGCAATTCAAATCACATTTTATTTGTCACATGCACCGAATACAACAGGTGTACACTTTACCGTCAAATGCTTACTTACGAGCCTTTACCCAAACAATGCAGAATTAAAAAGTAACACAATTGGCTAATAAAAGTAGAAAAATAGTAACAGAATAAGACAATAACAAGGCTATACACGGAGTACCGGTACCGAGTCCAGAGAGTGTCCACTGTGTATAGTCAGTGTAAGAGAGTCAGGTAGCCATGCAGTTAGAGCGTTGGGCCAGTAACCGAAAGATCGCTGGTTCAAAGACCCGAGCCGACAATGTTAAAAATCTTTCAATGTGCCCTTGAACAAGGTACTTAACCCTAATTAGCTCCAGGGGCATTGTACTACTATGGCTGACCCTGTAAAACAACACATTTCACTGCACCTATCCAGTGTATGTGACAATAAAAACATCTGATTTTTTTGTCCGGGTAGCCATTTGATTAACTGTTCAACAGTCTTATAGCTTGGGGGTAGAAGCTGTTCAGTTGCCTTTTGGTCCCAGACTTGGCGCTCCGGTACCGCTTGCCGTGCGGTAGCAGAGTGAATAGTCTATGGCTTGGATGGCAGGGGTCTTTGAAAATGTTTCGGTCCTTCCTCTGACACCGCCTGGTATAGAGGTCCTGGATGGCAGGGAACTCGGCCCCAGTGATGTACTGGGCCGTCCGCACCACCCTCTGTAGCAGCCAGCGATCGAGGGCGCTGCAATTGCCATACCAAGCGGTGATGCAGCCAGTCAAGATGCTTTCAATGGGGAACCTTTTGAGGATCTGAGGGGCCATGACAAATCTTTTCAACCTCCTGAGGGGGAAGAGGCGTTGTCGTGCCCTTCTTCACGACTGTGCTGGTGTGAGTGGGCCATGTTAAGCCCTTGGTGATGTGGACACCGAAGAACTTGAAGCTCTCGACCTGCTCCACTTCAGCCCCGTAGATGTGGATGGGGGCGTGCTCGCCCCTCCGTTTCCTGTAGTCCACGATCAGCTCTTGTTGATGTTGAGAGTGCGGTTGTTGTCCTGGCACCACACTGCCAGGTCTCTGACCTCCTCCCTGTAGGCTGTCTCATCGTCGTCGGTGATCAGGCCTACCACCGTCGTGTGTCGTCAGCAAACTTGATGATGGTTTGGAGTGGTATGTGGCCACAAAGTCGTGGGTGAACAGGGAGTACAGGAGGGGACTAAGTACACACTTTTATTTATTTTTTACAATAAACAAATTATTTACAGAACTCAGTCAAGTTTAATCACTCCCACCCGCTCCCCACCCACCCACACAAATCCACATACATTAATTCTCACAGAGAGATTCACAAGCAAAACACTAATACAAAAAAATCAATCCAAAACAAACTGACATTCACAAACAAAACAATAATATGCCAATTAGCAGACGCTTTTATCCAAAGCGACTTACAGTCACGTGCACATACATTTTTACATATGGGTGGTCCCGGGGATCGAACCCACTACCCTGGCATTACAAGCGCAATGCTCTACCAATTGAGCTACAGAGGACCACAACAAAAATCAAAACGCCCACTATACAGCACTATGGTCAACATACGGTTTCCAAATTCTGTCAAATATTTCTGGTTTATGTTTGATTTTACAATATATAGAGTCTAATGGGATGTAGTTAGATAGTTCAGTCCTCTAGTTTGTTATTGAGGGTGGATATGAGGCTTTCCGATTGATGGCTATACATCGTTTTGCAGCTATTTGACCTAGATTACAAAACCTTCTCTGATATTGATCACCAATATTTACATTTCCTAACATATATAATCGTGGCAATGGTGGATATAAATTCCTAAACACAATGAAATGATAGCACATACAGTATCCCAACATGGTGTCAGTTTGTCACAGGACCACAGCATACAGTTGAAGTCGGAAGTTTACATACACTTAGGTTGGAGTCATTAAAACTCGTTTTTCAACCACACCACACATTTCTTGTTAACAAACTATAGTTTTGGCAAGTCGGTTAGGACATCTACTTTGTGCATGACACAAGTAATTTTTCCAGCAATTGTTTACAGACAGATTATTTCACTTATAATTCACTGTATCACAATTCCAGTGGGTCAGAAGTTTACATACACTAAGTTGACTGTGCCTTTAAACAGCTTGGAAAATTGGCTTTAGAAGCTTCTGATAGGCTAATTGACATAATTTGAGTCAATTGGAGGTGTACCTGTGGATGTATTTCAAGGCCTACCTTCAAACTCAGTGCCTCTTTGCTTGACATCATGGGAAAATCAAAAGAAATCAGCCAAAACCTCAGGAAAACAATTGTAGACCTCCACAAGTCTGGTTAATCCTTGGGAGCAATTTCCAAACGCCTGAAGGTACCACGTTCATCTGTACAAACAATAGTACGCAAGTATATACACCATGGGACCACGCAGCCGTCATACCGTTCAGAAAGGAGACGCGTTCTGTCTCCTAGAGATTAATGTACTTTGGTGCGAAAAGTGCAAATCAATCCCAGAACCTCAGCAAAGGACCTTGTGAAGATGCTGGAGGAAACAGGTACAAAAGTATCTATATCCACAGTAAAACGAGTCCTATATCGACATAACCTGAAAGGCAGCTCAGCAAGGAAGAAGCCACTGCTCCAAAACCGCCATAAAAAAGCCAGACTATGGTTTGCAACTGCACATGGGGACAAAGATCGTACTTTTTGGAGAAATGTCCTCTGGTCTGATGCAACAAAAATAGAACTGTTTGGCCATAATGACCATCGTTATGTTTGGACGAAAAAGGGGGGACGATTGCAAGCCGAAGAACACCATCCCAATCGTGAAGCACGGGGGTAGCAGCATCATGCTGTGGGGGTGCTTTGCTGCAGGAGGGACTGGTGCACTTCACAAAATAGATGGCATCATGAGGAAGGAAAATTATGTGGATATATTGAAGCAACATCTCAAGACATCAGTCAGGAAGTTAAAGCTTGGTCGCAAATGGGTCTTCCAAATGGACAATGATCCCAAGCATACTTCCAAAGTTGTGGTCAAGTCAAGGTATTGGAGTGGCCATCACAAAGCCCTGACCTCAATCCTATAGAACATTTGTGGGCAGAACTGAAAAAGCATGTGCGAGCAAGGAGGCCTACAAACCTGACTCAGTTACACCAGCTCTGTCAGAAGGAATGGGCCAAAATTCACCCAACTTATTGTGGGAAGCTTGTGGAAGGCTACCTGAAACGTTTGACCCAAGTTAAACAATTGAAAGGCAATGCTACCAAATATTAAATTAAGTGTATGTAAACTTCAGACCCACTAGGAATGTGATGAAAGAAATAAAAGCTGAAATAAATCATTCTATCTACTATTATTCTGACATTTCACATTCTTAAAATAAAGTGGTGATCCTAACTGACCTAAGACAGGGAATTTATACTAGGATTAAATGTCAGGAATTGTGAAAAACTGAGTTTAAATGTGTTTGGCTAAGGTGTATGTAAACTTCCGACTTCAAATGTATGTAATACGGTTCCTTTATGCTTTCTCCATCTCCAACAGAGATGTGACATTTCTGGGTACATTACATGCATTCTGGCAGGAGTGTAGTAAGTCCTATGAATGATCTTAATAGAGATCATAAAAGCTTTGAAACAATGCCAGCCAAAGGTAACCTAGACTAATTTACAGGCTAACTACAGTGAATTGGATGAAGCTAGTGCTCCAGTACTCCCTCTTTCACTCTCTCTCAGCTTTGTTTGACAGTACAGTCTGTCACCACTATAGGCCATATCAAGATGCATTGTGACAGCATTGATATCAATCGTAGATATGTGTCAAATGGTGCTTCGCCATCATCTGTTATGACTAATACATACTGTATGTTTCCAATGCAGGTTTAGAGATAAACCTCTCTCTCACTCTCTCTCATAAGGTCATCCAATTCTGGTGTTATATTTTACATGTAGCTTGTAAACTGCTCTGTGTTCATATTTACTTTTACAAAACCGGAGGATGTGTTGCACGGTCCTCTGTAGCTCAGCTGGTAGAGCACGGCGCTTGTAACGCCAAGGTAGTGGGTTCGATCCCCGGGACCACCCATACACAAAAAAAATAACATGTATGCACGCATGACTGTAAGTCGCTTTGGATAAAAGCATCTGCTAAATGGCTTATTATTATTATTACTTTAGGTTGAGTATAGTGAGCAGATCACAGCAGGTAAAACGTTTCAGAAATGTGGATGTGGGTTTAATGACTTCAACACTGAGTGATGGAACTCAAGCTGATTGATTTGGATTATAGGCACATTTTGTGTGAATTCTAAACCTTTGAATCTCAAGCCTAAACCTCCTGCACCCTGCTCTGTGCCCCCTACTCATTATCGAAGATGGATTACTGCCATCTGCTTGGTGAAAATACTGCCACTTCATTACATTACCACTCTTACATTTATACTGTTCATCACAACCAGTCAAATGTCATATCCGTCAAAGCAACATTTGCAATGCAAATTAAGGGCATTTAATTAATTTGGACATTTGCTCAGTACTTGAAGGGTGTCATTTCCAATGCTACCGAGTTGCTAAACACTGATTGGCTGGTGAGTGTTGAGCCAATATCTCCTCTGTATCTATCTGCAGATCCAGAGGCATCAGGCAGTAGGTCCTCTGTTAACCTGGTCAAAATAATTGTGGTAGAAAATTCCCATGACATTCTGATTCATAATCTAGTTTTATTGTGGACCTGGAACCTTTGGGCAAGCATAGTATCCATCAAAATTCTAATGACAAACACCATACGAGAGCTTTTAAACCCAAAGTCTACTTTCAGCGTTGTACACTTTTGTAATGACTATATCCTAGGAACAGCCACAACATTGTGGTACTGAAGTTGAAAATAGCTCTAAAAATATGACTGAGATTTACTACTAAAAATACCTGTTATACCACATTGGTACACATTGTTGAA